TGATTCCCTGTCGGAGACGGTGATGCGATCTAGCCATTTCACAGAGCGAGCCCCCAGCACTCCCGGGACGATGGAGCGGACGGGGAAGCCGTGTCTGGCAGGCAAAGGCAAGCCATTCATCTTGTGCCCAAGAAGTGACAAGTCAGCAGACGCGCCGTCGAAAAAGGGGGCAAGGTTACGGTGCGCTCTCGATTCGTACCTTGACCGCCAGGATCACATCCATGGCTGGGTCCATAGCCCGGTCGAAGGGGATGCTACCCCCATACCACTCGTCGGCCTGAGTCTTGCCTCCGTAATTGGCAAAGTGGACATGTTTTGGTGGTACATTGTCACCCATGGTGCAGTGGTCCTGAACTCCGGCGGCGAGCAGAATGTCACGAACCCGAGGACCCTCCCACACGCAGGTCATGAGAGCAGCATCCTCCCAGTCGACTCCCACGACCTCCCTGATGCGAGTGCGCATAGTGTGTCTGCGGTTACCGGCGCACTGCAACGTGCAGGTCACCCTGGCTTGCGGGAAGTCGTTCATGAGCTGGTCGACGGTGAGACTAAGGGTCCTGCAGACGAAGGCCTCCCCGTCAACTGTGACTCGATGGTCCGTTCCGACCTTGTGTTGAATCGGACCGTGGTTCCGGTCATAGTTGTCGGATTTGGTGATGAAGCTGTTGTCAAAATTGAGAGACTATTCTTGTTCGGGGAAGAGAGAATGTTTCCCATACCTTGAAACAAGATCGATCATATACGGCTCCCGATTGATGGGTTTTTCGACCGTGCCATCGTCGTACGGACAAACTTTTGCCTGTTTCGGCGTGTCAGCCATGGTGGTATTCCCCTGGACAACACAGCACAATGCACGGGTAGCCTTACAACTGGCATGGCGAGCAGGTACAACGTCTGTGAGACTCTTTGGATAGATGAGCTCTACTGGAGAGATGTCGTCCTTGAGAGGGATGAAGCATTGGTTTGCACCCGAGGGAGCGGTGGGAGGCAGAGAAGATCAAAGGGGGGGGGGTAAGGGCATTCCCACCGCCATCTCGCAGTTGCTGGCACCGACGCTGTTCCCCGAAACCCCGATTGTTTTCCTGATAGGAGACTCGGTCAATGGAAAGTTCGTGCGGGGCAGAACGTGCCGATGCATGATTGGAGTGTTCTACTTGGTAGATCTGCAGGAGTTGTTGGTCCTGTCGTCTGGTGATAGAAATTCTCCCTGAAACACCCAGGTTTGTATAGACCTAGCCTGCTGCTGTCGACTAGCAAGGCTGAGCATGTCAGGATACCTACCCACAACACGGTCTGCTACTGGAGCTGGGGAGCCACTGGAGCCCTCAAGTTAATAGGGAAGTCGGTTCAGCCAACCAGAGAGGTCATTGAGACGGAGCCATCGAGCACGCAATTTTACGGTCGATCATAACAGCCTGACTAGCACGTGTAGTTGTATGCTCGGTAAAAGCAGTACTTTCTGGATGGTAACGCAGATTGATCTGCCCGGACACCTGCTCTGAAGAAATTATATGGCTCAGCGTCTGTGTAGTGGAAGCTATCTTTTGAACCTAATACTTGGGCAGGATATGTATGCAGTACTTGTAGTTGGCAAGTATGAACTGAATAGAGCAAGTTCTGGGGCCTATGATCCGCTGTATGCCAGTACACATGGCTCGTCTCGGTTCACCTGCCGCCCGCAATGGGCTTCGGATATTAATTCGACCTTAGTCCGCCATCCGTTGCGATAGCATTGCTTGTGACCAGTTGGATCAGCAACTATATCTTTCAGCATGACCCTGTGGAGGTACGTTCCCTCTTTGCTTCCGCCGAAGATTGTCGCCTAACTCGTCTACAGCTCGTACAAGGCTCTTTCCCCAAAGACCCGCGCTGTCATAGGTGTCGCGCTGATGGTCAATGCGTCCGCGATGCTGCTGTTTTCGGATCAAATCGAAGCGTCCCTCGGACTGACGCCGCCTCCTGACGATCGCCAAAAGGTTTTCAAGGTGTACAGCGTGGAGCGGGAGACCAAGGGATGAAATTGAAGCAAGAATGTCGACGCAAGTCAGACGGTCGCCCGTGCCGTCCACCACGCCTCTTTCTACGAAAGGGACGATGCCTGGAGCCGAATTCCGCAGCGAAGTTATGTTGTCGGTGGTATACATTATCAGTATATACGGGTCTGCGGAGAGGCCGCATGCCACGTCAGAGGGCTACCGGTCGTCTTTCATGTGGAAGAAATGCCGACTCCTTGTCAGTCCTCAACGCATTTCCGGCGACCGAAGCACAGAAAGAAATTGGCGCTACTAGGTGTTCAACCAGTGAGGAGATGGGGTTTCACGCCATACCCGAGGACAACGAGCAAAATCGAGTCGATGGGGTCCAGAAAGGATGGACCCAGAGCTCGACATTCTGCTCGATACCTTACCCAACTGAGGTCTGGGACTGCTTATAGGAAAGGATGATGGAGATTGTGATCTCAGCTGGGCCGAGGGAGAGTCCCGTACCCTCCTGTGATTGTGAACCACGGCGGGTCGATGATGTTCTCAAAATTTGAACTGGATGGGTGCTGTCAGAAGAACCTTGGGAACTCGCGCTCGCCTTTCCCGAGGAATTTATTCCCAAGCCTCGCTTTCGAGACATTCCTTGTCACAAACCTCTGGACTCTTGAATTAGTACGCTCAGTATCCAATTGACTGGTAAATCCACTCAGGGATACAATGCCTACGCAGATAGATAAAGCACTGCTGTCCATAAGTACCCATGCAGTTTGGTAGAATGATGTCTGTGATCTATCGGTGATTCATTGACCCGCAATCACCGAACAGGAAACTAGGTCTCACCTTCATTTCCAAACGAAACCTCTCTGTCTTATGATTAGGTCAATGGAGTTTACATTTTTCTAGCTGAGTTTGAGTTTGGTGCATAGTAAATAATAATACTCAGAAGCATAATCTGCTAGGTAATAGGCCCTCTATTTTAGAGATTCTTTTTTTGGAAGAGTGCTTGAGGTCTGGGAGTTGCGGTTTCGCACTTGGCCGTTGAGGGAAACAAGCTATTCCGATCCAATTGGATCCCCCTTTCTTGCCAGATGGCTACGGGCAGACTGTCGCCAGCGACCTTATACAGACTCAATCACAGATTAGGACCTCGCCGCGGCCATGGCCCATTGGCCTCTATCAGGACCTTTGCGAGTTCATCGTCCCTCTGCCTCCGCACGACCGAGCTCGACGGACCTAAATTGAGCGGGTTGAAGGTCAACCCAGCCCGGCTCTGGGACACGATCCACACGACAGCGCAATGGACTTCGGCCGCGAAGCCGAAGACGGGCGATATCAGGACTGAGGGACTCTCGCGGCTGGCACTCGCCGACGACGACAAATCCGCGCGGGACTGGTTCATCTCCACCACTCAGTCTCTGGGATGCAGGACCCATGTGGATCAGATGGGAAACATCTTCGCCATCAGACCGGGCCTATCGTCGTCGACCTCTCGGCCCGGTAACAGAGTCGAAGCACCTGCCACGTTCGCCGGCAGCCACTTGGACAGTCAACCTAGTGGCGGACGGTTCGACGGCGTCTTGGGCGTCGCTGCGGGGATCGAGATGTTGAGGGTCCTGAATGAGAACTGGATCGAGACCGAGGGCGACGTGGGCGTGGTGAACTGGACAAATGAAGAAGGCGCTAGGTTTCCGGTTAGTATGATGGGGAGCTCGGTCTGGGCTGGACGCGTAGGGCTAGAAAAGGCATGGGGTGTTCGCAGCGTCAGTTCGGGAGTGCCCCAGGCCACGGTCAAGGACGAACTGCAAAGAATTGGATATCTAGGGGACGTCCCTTGCTACCGTGATGGGAAGCCCGGCACACCCCTGGGCGCGCACTTCGAATTGCACATCGAGCAAGGCCCGAAACTCGAAAGGGCGAGACAAAAGGTCGGGATTGTCGAAGGCGTCCAAGCATACAAGTGGTTCACCGTCACGATAACGGGCAGAGAGTCACACTCCGGCACCACGGATTTCGACAATCGCGCCGACGCCCTCTATTTTGCCGCAACCTTTCTGCACAAGATTCGCAAGATTGCCGAGAGTCTCAAAGGGCTAGCAACCGTGGGAATCATGCATGTCTCTCCCGGCAGCATCAACACCGTTCCCGGACAGGTCGAGATGAGTTTAGATCTGAGGAATCCTCTGGACAGGGGCTTGAAGAGGATGGTCAAGAAGGTCGAGGAGTTTATCCAACTGGTGAACGAAGGTGATCACACGGACTCGCAGGAGGCGAAGGAAGGGGCTGGCAAGAACCACAGTGCTCCCAGAGCGGCGCCCTCGGAGAGGGTTTCAAGGCTGAAGGACAACCCACTCACGAAGATCCGGGTCGAGATGAAGGAAGATTTTTCGAGCGACGCCATCTCGTTCAACCCAGAGGCATTGCAGTGTATCGAGGAGAGCGCCATGGCTGTCTTGGGCGGCGACGCGACCAAGCTCCAGCGAATGCTGAGCGGCGCGGGCCACGATTCCGTCTGCACCAATGTGCAGTGTCCGACGGGCATGATCTTTGTGCCTTGTAAGGATGGCGTTTCGCACAATCCGAGCGAGTGGTGCGATGAGGAGGACTGCGCTATAGGGGCGAATGTGCTTCTTCATTCGGTGTTGAGGATGGATAGGCTGAGGAAGGAGAGAGGAGATTTTGACTGAGATAAAGAATGACAAAAATTTGGAAGAGGGCAAAATATCGTGAGAACACTTCAAGAAGCAGTTAGGAACAATCCTACGGCAGAAACGCATCGGCCGACCAACGGAGGGTGATTGCGGTCTCAATGCATGACAATTCGCAATGTGCTCTATGTGGTCTCATGCGAGTTTTGGCACAGATATCAGATCTGGGCGTCGCTCCGAAACATGCTCAACTGGCGCTAACGCCGCTTGTCCAGGGCCTTCAACAATGTGCTTTTTGGAAAAGAGGTCTTCATCTCTCAGATATGTTCATGTGCACGCAGGCCAGCTCCCGGGAAAGCAGATATTCCAACCCTCAAGAGGCCGGAGGGGGGGCTCCACGTCCACGTCCAAAGCCACCACGGAAGGTAGGCGCAAACTCGCCAGGGGCACCACCCTCTTTACCCTCACCACGGTCCTCACGACGACGATATCCGCCCTCACGATCACCACGGGGTCCGCCACGGCCGCCGCCACGGCGCTCACGGTCATCACCACCCATCATACCACGTGGAGGAGCATGGCTGCGCTGCTGCTTGATGTGTGTCGCGGGGACGATCTCAGCGGGCAGGTGAAGCCATTCGCGCAAGTAGTCCAGACCCTCGGGAGTCAAAGTGTAGTAATAGTATTGCCAGGAGAACTGCGTCTTGAGGTATCCACGGGAGGTGAGGGACTGGCAAGCCTTGATGACCTGCAACACATCATGTCTTGTTAGTCCTGGCTTTTTGTTTTCTCTCGTCTATTGCAACTCGGTTGCGCCAACGTACAAAGAGGTTCTTGGTGTCAATGTCGCCGTGCTTGGGGAGGTTGTAGTCCTTCTTGGCCACGAGCACACCTTCGCGGAAGAGGTACTCGTGGATCTTCTTGCGATCGGCCTTGGGAATAAGCCTACAAAGTAGAGGTTCTTCGTTAGCATATTGTCTCAGAGAGCAAGCAGGGCGACAAGGTGTCCCACATTTTTGCGAATGACCCTAAGTTTTCCTTTCTGGGAATGAAAAGCTGAGAGGGAAGAGGAAGTGTTGCTGCGAGTTCCTGGCGCTCTTCGGGGAATCGCACACAACAGGAGGTGAATTTGGAAAAAGAGAGTGGTGGAGGTGGAAATGTGAAGGTTCAAAACCAAAGAGGACATTCCATGCAACCCCAAGCCGAATGTGTGTGTCGACGCCAAGATTCAGCTCTTGGCAATTATTCGGTGCGTTATATGACATGTCTGGTGAGATTTCTACATTCACTTGTAGTCCGCCAATAGGAAGCCTTGAACTGACTCTGGACTACCTTACTAATCCCAGCAGTCCACCGTACGAACAGTCGACCCCTTGGCAAGAAAATTCTTGGCAGGCGAACTGGCGCACTCTCTGGATTTTGCGATTTTTGGATTCGTGGGACTGAACGACCCTCTACCTCGAGACGGCAATACACACCACATCTCAACAAGATCTCGACGACGTACTCTTAATTGCTCTCTGGGGGACTGCTGATTTGATCAGGTCAGTATACGAATTTGCTGTGTACACCTGGCGGGAGGAAATGCATTGAAGAACCCACGAAGACGAACAATCTCCCCTCCAAATCTTTCGATCACCCATCCATCCCGCACTCGATACCTGCTGTTGTGGACATTAAAAGAATTCAATACTGACGAGTTTGTGTTTCATTTGCAGGCCTCCTCAGTCCCGCAATCATGGGTATCTCACGAGACAGCCGCCACAAGCGGTCTGCCACCGGTGCAAAGCGCGCATACTACCGCAAGAAGAGGTACATATTTTCCCACCATGCGAGGATGTTTCTTTGAGCAAGAGAGAGATAGACAAAGATGATCAAAGTCTGACATTTGTGTTTCGATATCTACAGAGCCTTTGAAAAGGGTCGTCAACCAGCCAACACCCGTATCGGCACCAAACGCATCCATCTTGTCCGCACCCGAGGCGGCAATACCAAATACCGTGCCCTGCGCCTGGAAAGCGGCAACTTCTCCTGGGGCAGCGAAGGCATCGCCCGCAAGGTCCGTGTCATCGTTGTGGCCTACCACCCCTCCAACAACGAACTCGTCCGCACAAACACCCTCACCAAGTCCGCCGTTGTGCAGATTGACGCGGCCCCCTTCAGAACTTGGTACGAAGCGCACTACGGCACGAGTATTGGGCGGAAGCGGACGCAACAGACCAAGGCTGCCGGTGCTGGTGCTGCGGCTGCCGAAGGTGGAGAGACCAAAGTCAGCAGGAGCGTGCAGGCGAAGCGGGAGGAGCGGTTGAAGAAGAGCGGCAAGATCGAGCCGGCGCTGGAGAGACAATTCGAGGCCGGCCGTCTGTACGCCGTCATCAGCTCTCGGCCTGGCCAAAGTGGCAGAGTGGACGGCTACGTTCTGGAGGGTGACGAGTTGGCCTTCTACCAGAGAGCTATCAGAAAGTGATAAGGATATGATACTCGACTGGCGGGAAACATGGTGGGGGTGTAAGAACAGGCCGACTGCATCTGCAAAAAAGGGATGCTTGTCCGTCTCGAGGGTGACCTTGTCGGATGTGGTGGAAATGGCACGAAAAAGACCAAAAAAAGTCCTCAAGTCTGGGTGGTAGTGGACAAAGCAATCGATTATTGACAGAAACCGATTGTCGTCTTGACGATTACGAAGATGGCGGGTTCTGGTCGTGGGCCACAATGACCTTTAGATCAATCCTCTTCCTTTTCTTTTCTTTTCTTTGCTTGCTTCTACTCTTGCTTGCTTCTTCTAGCCTATCAACAAACATCCCTTGATACCTTGATAGTGTCAAAGGCCTTTCCTTGCTCACGGGCAGGCAGGGCGACTTACTAAAAGGACAGGGAAGGGAGGAGAAACCAAATATGCAAAAAGGGAAAAGGTGACAGATCGCTGGTTAGAATTCAATCTCAATCAATCAATCAATCATGTTTGTTGAAAGTTCCTTGGCAGTAGACTGGCTGGCTGGGTACAAGCTCGAATCAGTGTTTTTCCAAACCCCCAAAACTCTGGAAAGTTCTCGTCACACCAGGCCCTTTCATGAATCATTTCAACTGTGAAGGTTGACATTCGGTCCCTCATCTGCCTATGTCCGACAAAGTCCGTTTGAACAAGAAAGTCATCGCCCCTGTTTGCTTGCTTGCTTGCTCCCTGCGATCACCCAAGAAACCCGCTTGTCCAAGAAAAGGTTTTCCCAAGGCTCCTGGTCGCCAACAAGATCTAGCCCCTGAAACAGGATCCATCCTTTCCAAGCACATTCAATTATCGTACGCTCAAACGTACGCGACCTTGCTCCTGGTGGGATTGACAAGGACATGGCCAACTCAGTCGATCCTTTCAACCACTGGAACGCCCCATTCCTCGTGGGGGGTGACGCTGATGAAAATAGCCGCAGCTCGAAAAGGAGAGCATCTCAATGTGCAACTGGACACACATCGACAATCAGGATGCAGTGACGTTGCCATCATGATGTACAGTCAGGGCTCCACCAAATGAGTTAGCCATACAAGTCAGCAAGATTGGCAGCGAATAAACTTACCAAGAGGCTCCTCGTCACCAGTATTTCCGTTGAAGGAGAAAAACTCGTCACGAATCGCCTGTGCATACTGACTAATCGAAGCTTCGACGTGAGGATGGACGGGAGTCATACCGACCATACCAATCTGTTGGCTGAACGGGGAAGAATTTCTCGCGTACGCGGCTTGAATCCTAGCCTGGCGCTCAGCTTTACGGCGGGCAGCTCGCACACGTAGTTCCTCGAGCTTGGCTTCATGAACTTCGATGGCGGTGAGAAGTCTCCCATGAGTAAGGTAGAAGTCCTTGGAGACTTTGAAGTTGAAGAGGATGTCTGCTGCGGTGGAGCTGGCCTCCTGCAGACGATTCTTCTCGAGATTGAGAATGGTGTCAAAGGTGGCTCTGTCAACATTGCTGTAGTTTGCGACCTTGGACAGAGCGTCTGGAATGACCTTGATGCAATGGGCCATGAGCTTTTTGTCATCACGAGAAATGAACAGATTGTGAGTGAGCTTGATGTAGAGTTCAAAGCTGACCAATTCAGCTGTCGCCATCAACCAGCGGCCTTGAAGTTGCAGGAGGTGCTTGTAGAAGGCCAACAGCTTCTTACCCCCAGGAGAACTGACCAAGAAGGACCGAATGGCCGACAGAGCAGGTCGCAGGTTTTCGTACTGGACTTTTGGACCCGGCTCCTTGCTCAGGAGGTATTCGACGAATCTTGGTGTTGCGAGCACGATCTTCCCAGGAAGAGGCGCTTTGTTGTCGAGGAAGTGTTGCAAGCTCCGCTTGTTGTCTTCGTAAAGGAGGGTGAAGTAAGGGTCGAGAGTGACTGACTTGGACGGCGCAGTCCTCAATGGGAGGGTGAGAGTAGAGGTGGTCGAGGGCATGTCGGGGACCTTGGAAGGTGACATGTTCGCTGGTACAGGAGAGTTTGACATTGTACAATTACTCGGTAGATGATCTTGTCTCAACGAAGCTGGCTGATGTTGAAGCGGGGATGGTAGATGTAGAAGACAGTGAGCTCAGACAGAGATGAAATATTAGTAAACCAAAATTCCCTTGGGACCAAGAGGCTGGGGGACAAAGCATCCATGGGTGCGGCAGAACTCGATCTAAACAAGTGAATGATATCTGATCGTCACGTTGATTTGTAGTGTATGTTCATGTATGTGTTCTTCACCCTTCCCTGCGCTTACCACACAACAGCTTGGACATTTGATATCTCTTTCCGTCTTCTTCAAAAGTCAGGACTCGAGATACCCCAGGCGATCACCTTGAGCTCATGTTTGACAGTCTGGAGGCCTGAGAGTTCCATCATCACGTCCCAAGTTGATTGTTCCAAGATTCTTTCAAAGGATGGACACCCAAGGGAAGAGCCGATAGATCTTTCCTTACACCAATATGGAGTCCTGCACAGGTATATCTTGACACATTCGGCATTGATAGTATACAATGCTAGCTGGACAGCATCAGCTCGGGCGGTCGTTCTGGAAGAGGCAAACAGAGAACATTGTAGGCTGATTAAGCGGCCTAGAGCTGATGCAGGTTGACTGTTGCAGCTTTCGTGGAGCCCACGATGATCATCGGTATACTCGTTTAACAGCACCAAGTCGAGCTCGCGCATTCATCTGTTACAAGACATACCACAATGGCACAATAGCAAAGACAAGATGGAGAAGCAAACAACGTGGAGTCGCCAGGGCAGATGGCGGATGCTTGGTGGAGGATGCTCGAATAGGAAAAGGTGGCACACGATGGTCCGAAAGTCGGTTGATGGTCGAATGAACTGTGGCTGCAACCATCTCTACCGAGTACCGAGTACATCGTCACCTCATACTGCGTCTCAACAACTGACTTCCTGCTCCTATTCCCACTGCCACTCTCATATCGACCACAGAAGAACACATCTCGAGTCCCAAATGACCCTCCTTTCCAAGACCGAGCCGTCTACCTCCCTTTCATATTCGCCTACGACCGGAGACCTGCCGACTACAGCATATCGATAATGTCGCCCTCTATTCGAAAACAATGGCTGCCTTGATCGCACTCTTGTTCTTCATCGATTCCAGGCACTCGGCCCATTGCTCCAGCTTGAATGTCTTGTTGACAATGCCTGCGACCTTTACCTTGCCCGAGTCTATTCAACCCATCGTTAGTCGCATGCGCGTGGAAAGAGCAAGGAATTGACAAGACATACCAAGGTAGTCGATGGCAGCAGGGAACTTGTAGGTCTCGCTGAACGACCCAAGGATGGTGATTTCGTCCCCGAAGATCTTGGTCGGTGGCCACGACACACGGTCCTTGTTGCCGTAGACGCCATAAACCACAAGCTTGCCGCCTCTTCGGACATAGTTGATCGAATCCTCCAAGATCTTGACACTACCCGTAGCCTCAACCACAACATCAAAGCCATAGGGGTTTTCTCTCTTGATCTTTTCAAACTGCGGGCCGGGGTCCTTGCGAGACAGTT